CCCATAATTTGTCGAATCGGTCAGAAATTGCACAGCATATCTGCAGCCTCAATGATAGCAAATGGTTGCTGGATTCGGCACTGTGAATGCGTGCTCCAGTGTTGCTCCACAATCTGTCACTTAAGCAGCAGGAGTTTGATCAAGGGATTTGACAGCTGGTCCTCATGGTCAGCTAATTCAAACAACTGGCTTAGCACAGCTTGTGCCAGATACTCATGCTAAGGTGACTATCAATAAGCCGACTATTGCTCTCAAACATCAAAAAGCGTCACTTCAAGTTGCTCCTCGAAAAATTCGAAGAAAAATCTACATTTCGGCATGACCCAAAGTCAGGAAAATACTCATCATCTGTCGCCTCAAAGAGGGAAGGATGTATATCCACGATTTATCTAATTGGTCTAGTCTAACAGTTCGATATGTGTCAAAGATCTGTCGTATTAGTCTGTAGTAGGGTAAGAAAAGATCATATGTCACATGATGAGAGTCAGTCACGCAGTCACAATTCAGCATGCAGTCAATTACTACCATTCAGTCTTCCGACTGGAGAAAGAAATGACATGTATATTTGGGTCTTTAGAAACTTCTGCCTAACTTGTTTGGAAATACGCATTTTAATAACTATGTCAAGGAAATTTACTGTGGCCAGAAGAGAAATCTTCAGAACGCAGGATGCTTTTTTACTTTTATGATAACCCACTCGATTTCAACGCAAGCGGTATTAAAAGACGGACAGTAAGTTGACGATTTACTGATAAACTTAGTATTGGCAAATATAGTAAGTTATTTATATGGCAGTCTGACCTCGTGATTCACAGTTGGTTGCTATCAAAAACCAAAAAGGTCTAGAAATGACATCAGTGTAATAGAAATTAGTGCTTCTGATCTTATTGCTCCAGTCTTCTGTCAAACAAGCAAACAATTTTCAACTGTATTGAGCGAATCTTCTCGTTCTTATTGGTAGGTAGGGGAATAATTGGCCAGAAAATCATTCAGCGTTCACTATAGTAAATTAGCATTCGTACTTATACTGGAAGACCTACTAAGTTAACATATGATAAATGGCATCTAATATTTTCCTGAAGTCTGTCGTATATTATCACATCAGCGCAGCTAGACCTCGAGTGTCTTACAAGGCCGTAATCAACGGCCATTAATGTTTTTAATATTCATCAGTGATCTGCCACTCCATCTGAACCAATATCTTTTTTAGTGCTGATTTTGTAAGGATTTGGATGGTAACGAAACGTTCCAAAGTTTCAGACAGACTGCAGGCAGATGCAGAAACTTTGGAAGACTGGGTGAACCTAGGTGGAATGTCTTCCAAGCTTGAGAAACACAAAATAGTTCAACTACGCACTTCTACGAAGCAGAGAGTAATTTGCTGCAAAGAAGTAGTAACTTGTCCTGGTTATTGTCACACTGTGACTTATATTTCTCTCTAAGAGGAAAACCGGTGTAAGTATGAGCTACTCAGGCATAGGCCATAGTGCAGCCTACGTGTACACAGGTAGTTGCGTTCACACTCCAGATCCTCCTAAGATCGGAGAAAACTTATGTAGGACCTCACCGCATGCTGCATAACAAAACTGCTCAATCACTGACTCAGGAATAGGCGAAAAAAACAAGGAATGGACCTTTGAGGCAAACTATGTGTCTAAATGCTGCAGAAACTATGTCATTTTTAACTTGGCTACCACCTGGTGTGTGACCATTAAAAATGACGAGGTCGACCTAGGCAAAGGAATATTATCAGTAAGTCACTACTTACTTTCTCCAAGAATCCACGTAAAAATAATCACTAAAGAGTGGAGACTCTAGTACTCCGCCATATACTTTGCGTTCGACCTGGCCACCGTGGAACTCCACCTGCAACTGTTGCTACTTCAGCTTCCGAGACTCAATCATATAGGGAAACACAGACTGTATCCAGCGGACTGTCTCCTCGACCCACTTGAGATGTACATTTCAGATGTCGCACTCTTCATGCAGCCATAATAGACAGCTAACGTGCGAAAGGACTGATTCCTATTGTGGAGAGTGCTGTCTACTAGCCAAATTGGTAGACAGTAATTCACGTCAATGTTCACGTTCCCAAGACTTGTCGTGAGAAAATGTGAACAAAGATTGATTCAAAACCGACCACAGCAGACTTTGCGTAGGCGGATGCAGTTAACATATAGAGGATTTGACATTCAAGAAACAGTCACAAATAGATGAAAGATTAACTTCACGTGAGGAACAACCAATCGGAAGACTGTGTTTGTTCGCTTAACTATCCATAATAATGTACATGAAAATATATAAATATGCGTTGATTTCCTTAATAAATGATCTGTTGCCTGACTCTTGCCTTCTGTCGTTACAATTGGTGTCGCTGCCTCCGAACAATGAAGATCCCATGGCCAACTGCTTTTGAAGAAGGAGACATACGGAGCTTCTTACGTGACTTCGAGGCCGTCGCTGAGTTGGTGGGTGTCAAAGAGCAGGCGGCGAAGGCGGTTGTACTGGGGACGCTGTTGAGAGGCCGAGCGCTGGCGGCATATGACAGCGTAGAGAGGTCAGATGGCACAGCGTCTTGGAAGACATTGGTTGAACGATTGGTGTCGAAGTTCGACAGTTCAACAGACAGACAGCTGGCAATGCAGCAGTTCCGTTCAACGAAGCTAGGACCTGATGGAGATCCGTTAGTGTTGGCGGTGAAATTGGCCAATCTACTTCGACGTGCGCTTCCCACTTTGGATGAAGATTCAGAGGCGCAGTTACTGAGTTCCCAGTTCATCGAGAGTGTCCCAGACCACATTTCCCAGCAATTACAACTGGTTAACGCTACGCAGCCGATGGATATTAATGAGCTGGCGAAGGTGACCAGACAGCTGCTGAGCACAACTGTAGCTGCCATAGAGAGACCAAAACCAAACGAATTCGAGCAGAAAATTGGAGCGTTGCAGCGGGAAGTGGTGGCGTTAAAGTTGGGTGACAGGAAAGACCGGTGTTTTGAATGCGGTAAGCCGGGACACTGGAGGAGATACTGTCCAGAAAGGGGAAAAAGAAAAAGTTTCAGACGGTACAATACGTGTTCTTTCTCTCGTATAAAACTAGATGTAGTGGGGGCTATCGAGAAAGGGGCTGTGTATTCGAAGTTGCGAGTGAATGATCGAGAAGTAGTATGTTTAGTAGATACGGGACTCTGACCTGGCGAGAGGACGACGGAAGCTGGCTAGCTGTCATACCTCAGTCGTCGCGCCACGACATGATAGAAGAATGCCACCAGCTAGCACATACCGGAGTGGCCAGAACAACCGACCTCTTGAGACAGAGTTTGTACTGGCCAGGTATGAGAGAAGACGTAGCAAGATATGTACTTGGATGTCCACGGTGCCAGCTAATGAAAGGCGACCGGTGCATATGACCACCACTTCAGTCGATTCCAGTTACGGCGATAGGTGACTTGTGGTCCGTAGATGTCATGGGTCCATTTCCTCAGACATCCAATGGTAATCAGTACCTCTTGGTGACACGATGGGTAGACGTCGTAGCAATCCCAGACCAACGCGCAAGGACCGTGACAGACGAAGTAGTTAGACACATCGTTGCAGACCACGGCGTACCAAAGACAATACTGACAGACCAAGGTCCGTGTTTCGAAAGTGAAGAATTCACTTCCCGTTTGCAACAGCTTGGCACCAAGAGGATCCGAACGACCCCATACCATTCACAAACGAATGGCCTAACGGAGAGAAACAACCGTACGCTGAAGGAGTGGCTGGCCTCGAAGGGCGGTAACTGGGAAACGGAGCTGCCACTGATTCTACTAACACATCGTGCCACCACCCAGGAAACAACGAAAAAGTCACCCTTTCAACTGATGTATGGTAGAAAACCACGATTACCGATACACAACGAAACCTGGCCCCTTCACCAAAAGTGGAGTACGACGAAATTAAAAGCAGAACGGAAAGAAGCCGTCAAGAATGTAATGCAGAAGCAGCGGAGGGATGTCGCGAAGTCTCAGCTGAGAGAAAAGACTCAGTGCATTACCTTCTCAGTCGGGGACCAAGTGAAGTGTAGAGACAGAAGATATGCTGTCGGATGCGGGCCAGGTTCACGCAAACTCCTTCCAAAGTGGGAAGGACCATACACAGTCACAAAAAGACGGGGTCAAGTATATACCATCAGAAGAGGTGACAAACAAAAACGAGTTAACGCCAGTCAGATCCAACGATGGGTGCATTGGGACAAGCCGGTCTGTAACAATCATCAACGAGAGAACGCATCACCCAGAAGGTCGGAACGCCTGCGCGCGAAGCTATTTGACGGGGGGACGAGTGTGGTGAGATCTGTCTACTAGCCAAATTGGTAGACAGTAATTTACGTCAATATTTACGTTCCCAAGATTTGTCATGAGAAAATGTGAACAAAGATTGACTTTGCGTAGGCGGATGCAGTTAACATATAGAGGATTTGACATTCAAGAAACAGTCACAAATAGATGAAAGATTAACTTCACGTGAGAAACAACCAATCGGAAGACTGTGTTTGTTCGCTTAACTATCCATAATAATGTACATGAAAATATATAAATATGCGTTGATTTCCTTAATAAATGATCTGTTGCCTGACTCTTGCCTTCTGTCGTTACACTGTTATATCAGCACAGCGGTCTTAGCACACGATTTATCTAATCACAAAGTCACGTCAGGTAATTGGTGAGGCGAACTCTATAGGAGTTCACTGAAGTGCAGATAGTGTTATTCTACTACCAGGAGGCAAGGAAAAGTAAATAATTTGGCAGTTTTTGTGAGGTATTTAGGACAACAACACAAGTATATTTAATTCAGTAACACCTCAGTAAAAATGTAATATTATTCTAATAGAAGTAAATAGGTATAATTTAATATTTCATATGCCTAGATATAAGGAAATGTTTGCTCCAGATAAGGTGACTATGTGGCATTTCAAAATATCTTATTTGCACCATTTAGATTTGTTTAACTGCTTCGTTTTCCCGGCGTCACTGGTCAAATTGATGACCGCAATATGTCAGCGACGGATCAGATTCGGGCTTTACTGGATGAGTATATGGGGACAACTAGAGATGGTAAGTAATTTTTTAAAAAGTACAACATAGTATGTATTGTAAAATGGCCCATGACTTATTGCCTCAGTAGATAAGGTTTTGTTGAGCTTTCCACTCAATTTGTCTCTTCATTATTTTTAAGGTGTTCATGAATGTGTTTGTGCGGTTGAATGTCAATTCATGTAAGTGAAGGGTCTGAGGGTTATTCGATGGTTTAGATCTTAAATGTAAATGCATTAATTTTTGCTATTCCATGAGCTTTGTTGACCGCATATACCGGTAACGCCTATTTAGGACAAGAACCAAGAATAGAGTTTGATAATCCTCGCGTCTGTAAAAGCTATCTACTGGATTGCTGTCCAAATGAAATCTTATCGGGAACGGTGAGTCTTCAATTAATCTAACTTTGTTTAGCGGATGGACTTGGGGAACTGTCTGTTCATACATGACCCAGCACACAAGGCAGATTATCGCAAGGAACCGGATACGAAGAAGTTTCAGTATGAACTTGACGTAAGTGTGATTCACGTATAAACATTTTGTAAGGCGCTAGAACATTTGGAGGCCTTTATTCGAGATTGTGACCAACGCACTGAAGTAGCAAAGGCAAAATTACGTGAGACTCAGGAGGAACTGACAGATGAAGCCTCTCAAAAAGCTGAACACATAAACCAGTTGAGCGAGCAGATAGGAACAAAACTAGCTAAGGCTGAGCAGCTTGGAGCAGACGGTCACGTTGAAGAATCTTTGAAACTTATGAAAGAGGTTGAAGAGTTGAATCTTGAGAAGGCTAAAAGTGAGGCTGATCTGCGTACTGCCATACCCACAAGTACATATCAACAACAGAAACTCCGAGTATGCGAAGTTTGTTCCGCCTACCTTGGTGTGCATGATAATGACCGTCGCCTAGCTGATCATTTTGGTGGAAAACTGCACTTGGGCTTTATAGAAATAAGAAAAAAATTAGATGAGTTAAGACAGTACGTCAGCGAAAACCATATAGTACGCCGTCGCAGATTTGAAGGCTACAACCGCTCATTATTCGTAACAGTGGAAGAAAGACGTGACAAGGAACGTGATCGCGAGCGCGAACGGGAAGTTGAGCGGAATGAACGTCGTCAGAAATCCCGAAGTCGTAGTCGGTCACGAAGTCGTTCGCGCAGTCGAAGGCATAGTCGACATCGTAATGGCAAACATTCCCATAAAAGTAAGAAGCACCACCACCGCTCGTCAAAGCGAAAAAGTGAAGACCGTCATTAAAACATTAACCCTTGTATAATATTGACTTTGATTATTAACCTGTATTTATTCCTTGTTCTTTAAAGAATCGTTTCAGTAAAAACATTACTGTGATCTGTGCTTGGTTTTAATATTGGATGAGATTGATTATTAGTTTTTTTTCTTTCACGTCCCCAGTGGAACATAGGGCTTCAAGCTAGTGGCTTGAAGTTTCTGTAGCAGTGTTTATTTTACAGGATGGGGTTGCTAGCCTCATGCCCAACCTTTCCTGTTCACCAGCATTATTTCTGTTTTAGCGAGGTAAAGGAGTGCGTCAGCCGCGGATTGAACCCCGGACCATGTGCATGGGCGGCGAGCGTCCTAACCGCTGTGCCACCGACGCACGATTATTAGTAACTCTCACTATTAAACTTAACAAATGTGTGAACTTGAGGGTTATAGAGCTGTGGCTAGAAGAAGCCTTGCTACTAGTGTAGTTTAAGTAGTCAGATGTGCTCACTAGCGGTAGCACTGCGGAAAAGTCCGGTAAATAAGGTTATGTGAACCAGGTGAATCATGAATAATTGCCTAGGCATCTCGGAGTCTGCAAGCATATCGGGCCTGTAGCGTAGTAGTTTGATTAATTCTGTACACTAGTGGCTTTTTCATCCTTAAATTTCCTTGTCTCTTTTTTTGTAGTGCTCTATCCTGTCTTTTAGTTTATATTTGAGCCCTGCCATGTATTTGTGTTTAGAAGTCAGCCTTTTCAGTTTGTCTGCATTAACTGGACTGCTTACATGCACCTGGATGAGCTACGTGATATGTATAGTGCTGTGAGTTAATAGAGTTGGGTGGGAACTCATAATCCCCTGCTCGAGAAAAAGACATCTATAGTCAAGTTTTCGCATAGTTCCCAACTAGGGCACTTGACGGATCTTCCGGAGTTGTCTACGGCTTAAGTTCAGTGATTTGTGCGTCGGTGGCACAGTGGTTAGGACTCTCGCCGACCATGCACATGGTCCGGTGTTCGATCCCCTGCCGACGCACCCGATATCTATGGTCGGCCTGCAAAATTTGGGCTACCGATATCCATGCTGAAAATTCCATACTTGTACTGAAAATACGGTGTGGCATCAAGCTGTAATCAAAAATAAAAAATGTAAACTAGCCCAATTGAATTCCTGTTTTCGATGCTTCTGTTAATGTGTTGGTTTTCGCATGTAATTCGTAGTTTGTATGACATTAGACATAAATCGTCTGTGAAGTCCAGGTTGGTCCTTTAACCGGTCCAATATGTACCCGGTATTTCACTTCCCCTTGTTGCATGGTTCAGTCCACTACATTCAGGAATATCGTTAGTGATGGATAGTAGGCAGTCTTGTCTTATTCCGGTCTTCAGTTCAGCGGCTTTGGTGAGTTTTCCGTTGTGGATCATTTGACATGTGGTATCATCATTTAGTTGTTCAATGATCGGGGCTCTTTCAAAGGCAACTCATGCAGTAATTCCTCCGGCATTGTCCATCTAAGGAAATGGCATGTCACCTCACAAAACGCGTTTCCTGGCTATTTCAAGTAGTGAGACTACAACTAAAAGGGATAACATCTACACCCTTCCTTATACCATGTTGACAGTTTGTTGTCATCTACAAAAATGTTGTCATACAGATATCGCGGTGCTACGATGTGGGATAGTTAAGACTGAAATTGTGATTCAGGAACTTCGTTTCAATTGGTAACGGGAATAGGTTATTGGAAATCCAAGTTGTAGGTTCCATTAACATAGCAAACAGGTAAGTATCAGGCGCTCAGTTTTCTGTATGGCTTCTCATCGTCAGTCGTTTTCCGCAGTCGAGTGGCTCCATGTACCCGTTGGTCAAAGAATTGCAATGATTATACTTGGTGCATGAACGTTTTGACTTGACAAGTGTCAGTAAATGAATCTGGAACACCTCATCTATTTAAATTTATTGTTCGGATAATATTGGCCATAAGACGGCTCACCGCAGCTATTTTATAGCTGGTTAGTATATGAGTCTGGAGTTCTTATAAGTACTTACGATTTACGTCTGTTACCAGCTAGCATCAAACGCTATGAAAGTGCGAATTGCTGCTACATTTTCGAATACTGTTAAAAATTAGTCGCTGTCACTTCATACTGATGCGTAGATGGCGCTATGTGGGGGTGGTTTGTGATATATCTCTTAGTAGTACGATTTATGTCAACCTGAGTCACCTCCTGACAACACCCAATTCTTGTCTCAAATAGTCGTTGTACGGCAAGCTGCGCATATGCTATTAAAAACAGGAATCTGTTTATACATTGCTAATGTTTTCTTATTACAGTTCTCGTCTCTACGTGGGGTAGGTGTAAAAGACACCCTAGTGCAGGATTCCGTTTTTAATTTTGTGTGCGTCTTTTCAGAAAGTATCGAAAGTGTTCACCTGGAGAGTCTTGGTACTCAGAAACTGGCAATTTTCATGTGACGACAAAAACAAGCTTGAAGTCAAAGACATCAGGTGACTTGACTGAAAACAGATCACTGGTGGAAGTGCATCCATGTCTAATCTTCTTATATTATAACACTTAAATTTGAAATTAGCTTGGTCTTTGGTCTCATAGAGATTTGGGATTGCATCATCCCCAATATTACTACCCTTTGTGTGATGTGCAGATTTGAGGTGCGGTATCACTGTTGAGTCCTACATCGATTCTAAGAGTCGTAAAAGATTAATAGCTACGATCACACGAAAAATCACTTTAGGCGCCCATATTTTACGACGACAACTTATTGCAAACTATTTGCAGTGTAGTGTAGATCGCTTTAATACACTAGTAAGTTGGAACTATTAATTCTGCAGTAGTGTGTTCATGCTGAATCAATTTCGTTATCACATCAAGTTAAATTCATTTCACATTTAAATGAGAAGTTTGATTTGGAAGTTGCTTCTAAAAGCTTGAATCTTCCAATACATATGAAATTAGCAGCATTAAGAGGATAAAAAGTGTATTGGCCTCTGGTTTTTAAAGAGTTCCTTCAAAAATGTAATTTTTTGTAAAAATTTAGACCATGTACTCTACGGATGTTGTGGAAAAGTTTGTTTTGATCTCCTCAACATGTTTTAATTTTATTTCTCATATAACAGTTCCTGCGCAATTTTACATTAAATTACTGGTAATTACATTTTGAATGACTTATTTCGGAGCTAATTTTATTGCATTGTAAAAGCTTCTGTTTTAATAGGTAACAAAATGTCTTGATTGCTAACAGCTTTTTCCACCTTTTCGTATTCTAGTGGTAAATTACTGTCGTTGTTCCCACCCTTTTGTTTGTTGCCACTACGCGCTTCTTAACGGCAAAATTCAGTATTAGACTATTAAAAATTTGCGAGTAATTAAAGTCATTAAAAGCTTAGTATCATGCTGTGATACTGCTCTATTGATTTACACGTTTTATCGGGATATTTGCATGCCTAACATGGACTTTTGCTCATGAATGTATAACAGTAGATTCCGAGGACGAGGTTATTGAAAATAATCCACCAATTCCTGTTAGAATGATAATTACTCAGTCTTTTCATAGACCGTAAGAACGTAGCAACGAATATTGAATGTTTTGGTCATTTCCGCATCCCAGAATATTGTGCAGACCTTTCCTAGACAGATTAGGACGATGCATCAGAAACTATTACTACATCATAAAACTAACAGTTTTTCAGAATGAGTATATAAAGAAGGTTAGGTATCTATGTACTGCAGTTATCCCTGAAGGGACGTTTCACGCACTTTCATAGTTACATTAATTACCTTATAAGAATGAATATATCTTACGAAATATTAAGTATGGGTGGCGATGTGAATTTATGGAAGTGAAGTATTCAGCTGAGTTCCAAATAACAAACCGTTTTCGAGTGTCTCTATTGTATTAAAAGCAGACTGTATGGGAAATCGAAGCATCTGTGAAGTCTTAAAATACCTATTTCAACGGTGATATGTAGCTCTGTGACTTGAAGACATTTGGTATCATACTATTCCATTAATAATAAAACATGCAGAAATAAGGACCGTTATTTATATGCGAAATTGTCTCTTTATCACACGTTACCACTGCTGTCAGCAGGCGTATAATTCAAACCATAGATTTGTTCAGGGATTTTATCACGAACTGACACAAGTCAGAGAGGCAATTAACACCACAGGAACACTGGACAGCTGTTTCGTTCTAGTTTGAATTTCTCTAGCAGAGAATATTCATGAATGTGTTTAAGTGTCTAAAGTAATTCAACTAGAAGACCTCATAATCAAAAGATAGTTCCCATTAGTTAGTTTACTTTACAAAAAATTAGATTATCAATTAGCTCATGAAAAGACTCAGTAAATAATAACACTGATCCATAAAAAATTTGAATAAAAATATTCAGGTCACTAATGACAGTAGTACCGGTGTCCAAAGTTCTCATAAGTAATGGATGGTGAGTAACTCTATGTTAGGGTGAAGTGGATGGTTGACAGAAACGCAATATGGTGAATCAACAAGTCACTGAACACCCATCAGGCGGTTATAAGACCAACGGGCTAGCCCTGTGACCAGAAGGTCCTAGGTTTGATTCCTGGTGGGGTCATTGAAGAATCCTAAACTAGAACGAAACAGTTGTCTAGTGCTCTCCGATTTTGATTTGTGCTCTAATGGGTGTTAGTTCGCAATAAAATGTAAACTGAAACGTGCAACTGACTTTGAGCTTTGACACAATTCGTATTCTATGGGTGCAGAAATGCCTCGCTGTTTTGTTTTCGGTTAGAGACGGTAATTGTTGGATATATCTGGTAGGTGTTGGATGCCGGGTGAACTCAGTATGGCTGTACGTTAGTGAAACTGCTCCTCAGTGTTCCCTTAAGCGTATAACTATTCTGATAGGTCAATTAAAGAGTCGTCCTTATCGGGAGTTTCTACTGTTTTCAGAAAAATTAAGTCAGTTTTTGGAACATGAATGCAGGTTTTTTAACTTTTTAAAAAAGGACTGCCAAAGAAAAAAATGAATACAAATTACTCTGCAGTTATCATCGTGTTGGGTACGAGGACAAAATTATAGGAGCAGCTATTTCTCAGTCGTAAGATTGTGAACAATGGGACACTGAGTGTGGAGCAGATCAGAGAAACAATAGTGATTTGTTGAATATTAAGAAAGACTGCATAGATATCACACATCAACATATATCCTTAAATATCACACGATCCTCATACACCAAGCCAGGACGATGTGTGGTTAATGATAATAATCCGTTGCTAGGCTAAAGTAGGATTTGAATCCGCGACTCACTGGGTGAAAAACGAGTGCTGGAACCGACGAGCCACATGTTAACTTCTGTTATTTCCCTTACGACTTATCGTCACAAGGATTCAAGTTCTTTTTGGACAGATTCAAAACCGCGGAATGTAAAATTAGTAGCAAGCTGACCAGTCGCAAACGAGTTTCGCCGTATGAAGCGAGGAAAACAAATCTGTTCTCTCAGTCTTTAAAAGGATATCGAATCTCATTGTAGGCAGCCGAACGGTAGCAACTACCCACATCGTTTAAACGAAACAAAAATCCTGTTTGTTTATACGCCCCTCATATTCGTCTATCCTTTTCCACACTTGTACTACATTTCGTATAGTTCTCTAAACTCCCAGCTTTCGATAAACATTACTAGTTACTAAGGTTAGTAAAGGATCACGTCTGTTTTCATTAAAACCTACTTGCCAACATTAAATGCAGGCGTTCAACTTCAGGTCTCATCGACAAACCCGGAATGAACTGTCTCGGTATACAGAAGTATATTCAATAACTAAGTGTGGCTGTTCAGTTTACTTGGTTAGTGTTCTCAATTTATGAAGTTAACATTACATTATTGGATTTAAAAGCCTAGTGTTCTTATGTATTCAGTGGCTGACTGAGACAGCAGTCGGCTAAGTTTTTCTGTGATCGACACAAGGCCACATACAGTTTGATCTCACTCCACGTAACCTTCAAAAGTCAGCTGTGTTTGCATCAAAGTGGCCTTGCGCATCTGAAGCATACATCAGGAAAGTTCTATTTGTTGCTCGAAAGCAATGTGTTCCCTAATGTGAATGCCTGGCTCCTATCATCGTATCGGTAAGTATATGTAGTGGAGACGTAAGACTTGAAAATAATAATAGACGTTTTCATTTGTAGCTCATATAAACCTGAAGCGTATACAAAGCAGTGCTCATAATTGATGTGGAGGAAAGTTAATCAGTTAATTGGGCTTGGATCTGTCACGCGCGACCAGTCAACAACAGTAATGCTGGCTAAATTAGGATATGTTCGTGAAAGTTATTTATGTTCAGACCAATCATCGATGTGTTTCTGATGACCTAGGTTTTGCACATGGGTGTTGGCTGTAATCACTAGGTGGCAGAGAAACAATGACTTGTGGTTTTTGAGACATAAGTATGTTCACAATGGCGGAAACGTATCGACTTTCTTGTTTTCGTTGAGATCTTGGTCTATTAAGTAAACGTACACCACGCTGCATTAAACTTAGGTTCCTGAAAGCTTCTAAGGCTATAAGCATAAAATACCGGGGTTTCCAATTTATAGATTTATTTGGGGTAGCGATTCTAGCCATCCAAATAAAATTAAAAAGTCGGACACATTTACAGGTAATAATAACAACCTTAAAGGGCTTATATCTACAGAGTCTAAAATTTTAGTACGAAACGAAAGCTCACGACACTGAATCAATATTTCAGGTGACAGGTTGCACTTTCATCATGGATTGGCACACATGTTCTACAATATCACGGGGAGTATGCATTTTCTCGGCCTCCACATCACTTATTTCAAACCCTAAATAGAAATTGAAAACATGAGATAATTAATGAATGTGATAAAACATTACTTTTCACACTAATTATTCAACTGGACATTACATAGGGAGTTGTGGAAATCATAGCACCATAAACAGTGAATCAGCTGCGTATATCAAGGCACCTAGCAGTTTTGAAGGTCAGAAAAATGGGTATATGCAAGTATAATGTCTGGCGTATTTTTGTCACTGAAACACTCGGTCGGTTTTCGACATAGAACTTTGCACATATGTGCGGCAGTTCAAGTCGCCACAATCTATGTAGCACGCAAGGCAAGAGAAGGAAGTAGAAGAAATGCATAATATAGACAGTAAACAGAGGTGTGAGACAAAGGAATAGTAATAACAAAGAACAAAACAGTTTAATTGGAAATCATAAGTCACAAGGAGTGGATGCATCTGCGCCACTGAGAACGATTTTGAGCCATGTCACCAATTGTTTCCAACCATTGGTTTTTACCATCCCGAGGGCCCCAACCAGGAAGTCTACATCTTCCTACGTGGCTTAGACTAACTGTTGTGGATTTCATTGATTGGTTCCATGTTTTCGTTTGACCGCCGCTAGCTCCTTTCCAGCCTGGCTCTATATCAGCTAACATTGCCCCTCGAGGAAGGCGATGACTAGGCATACGTAGCACATGTCCTAACCATCTCAGTCGAAGTAATTTCACCGTTTCGTCGGTTGATTTCCCCGCCTTACCTAGCACTCGACGCCTAACCTCAATATTGCTCACCTTATCATACCACTTCACGCGGGAGATAGAACGCAGACACCTATGATCGAACACAGCTAATCTTTTCATGTCTTCTGCTCTCAATGGCCAGGTCTCCGAAGTACACGCGAAACCTCTAATCACTGAAACACTGACAGAAGACAAGCAGAAATTTTGTAGTAAAAATACCGCTAAATAAATTTTTTTGAAAAAATCACCATGAAATTCAATACATTTATTTTGCCACATACACAATTTAGCTTTCTTGCTATGCTAATATAATCAGACAATATCTAAATGCCTGAGTGTGGTAAGCTCACTACACGAGGAATATGGAGGGCATAGATTCCCACGTGTTAGTGTATTTGGAAATACATTGGAAGATGAAGGATACCCAAACTAAAACATGACATAAGTGCATGGTTTCTCTGACTATTAGCGTGAGTAATGCAGTTTGCCCGATTAAGAACCATGTTGCTATAGAACCTCTTACTCTTTAGATGACACAACTCAGAATTGACAACAGTTGAGCAGACGCATTCGTATCGCATGTTTACCGTAGAGGTAAAGAGACATTCCAACAGTTGCGTCATATCTTTTATGACACTATAACCGTACATCATATTGTTTTCACTCTTCTGCACTTTCTATTAGATGCGATCTCACATCGTATTTAGCAGCTGGGACCGCTGTGGTAGTGCTTGGATCTATGTTGACAGTGTTTACTTAAATCTTTCGAGAGAAATTTTTTTATAGTTTGCACACAGGCAGTAAGCTGCCGCAGACGAGTAGGTCACACGAAAGATTTATTAGACATTCATCACTCATAGTGCTCCCAAATTATTTTATTGAGCGATATAGCCGAAATGTACACAAGTTTGTTGGATGAAGATGAGTAATTTACTTTTGCCTGCATATTATCAGAGCTTTTTGACAGAGGAATATCTTCAAATTTAAAGTCAAAGATTGAGAAGAAAAACATCTCATTCAACTAGATAGTCTATATCTGTACTAACTGACACCGCAACAGTATAACTGAGTTCTCAACGTAGAAACTAGTAAGGAATTTCAACAGTTCAATTTGCCATCCTTTATAATGCACACATATAGGGTTATGTATAAGTACATGCATTAATAGGATCAGGGTAACATGGCTCCTTTTATTGTACGATAAACTCCCACCTCGACAAAAAGGGCTATATCCTAAAGACAGGTGGTCATTTACTACAAATTTCGAATACACTTTGAAGTAATATGTAGAGCTGGTTGCATGTCTTCTCCAGACCACTCTTACATCTTTATAAATCTAATACTAAACCAAATGTTGGAGCAATAACGTGTTATGTGCATTATCCTTGGTTGATAATTACGAAACACTAAGAATGTAATATAATACATAAACATATATAATATTATAACGTAATTATATAATATCTAATATAACATAATAAGTCTGCAATATGACTAATCAATAGCCAACTGATTGCTGAGAATAAAGGCAACTTTATTATACAGAGTTTGGATATAGCACTCAAAATGAAATCCTTCCTTTTAATATCACGAGGACATTCAGCCTTAAAGCAATTGCAATAGTTGGTGCGGAGGGCGAAACATATAGTTGGAACGATGAGTGACATACAACTGATAATTGATACAGTAAGATAAACATATGGCCACATTTTAACCACATCAGATTTCGCTCATCTGAACACTTTTTGTTTTCTATTTACTTGTTCAAGCACTTAGTCGGTGTGCTGATAAAACACCTAGCAACCTGAGTCACTACGCGGTAGAACGTAAGTTAACGTCATTAAGTTTGATTCTAGGAGACAATAATACAGTAGGTTCTCGTGAATGAGTGGGAAATCAACATCTTTATGGGTCTATGTTAGCTGACATAAGATCGGGTAGGAAAAGAGTTAGTGGTTGTCAAACCAAAAAACGGCATTAGCCAATGAAATCTAAGCCACGTGGGGAGGTGTGGACTTCCTGTTTAGGGTCCTCAGGGTAGTGGAAACAACCGGTGGTATGGCTCGAAATCGTTCTCAGTGTCGCAGATACGTTCACTCTTTGTGATTTGTCATATCCAATAAAACTTTACTATTCTTCCATGTTACTATTCTTTTTTCTTCATTCACATTTCTGTTTATCATCTGTCTCTCTTCTTTTGCTTTGTGCTACATGGAGTGTGGTATCCCGAACTGCTGCACATCTGTGTAAAATTCTACGTCAAAACTAGTCAGCCTATGAACTCCCGTTATGCATCCACTCGAGGCTGTGTACTAATCCCAAGAAATGTATCGAGAAACAAGCAACTCTCAGTTAAGTTTATAGATGGTTATTGAGCTATATGAACCTTACTGTTACTAACCAGATATTATTGATATAAGTATAAAACTTGGTCACTGTGGTAGAGCATAACTCCAGTAATATTACTGTACAACACCGTGATTTATCAAAATAAAATCTTATCCATAATGGAGTAACCAGATATTAACTGGAGAAAAACACCCATTTCGATGGAATCTATGGAAATATTCAGTCTCCAAAAGTAGCACTCAAAGATTGTTGAGGAGCAGGGCATATAGCGACTGATTTAGGACGAAATTAGTAACCGAAATGGGTGGTGTCTTTCTTAGATCAGCTAGGTGAGGTTGCACTTCAATAAATACTCTGTGATTAAAAGCCGTTTTTGATCAACAGTGTTTAATGACGAATCAAAATATAATTTTACTAGAAATGACCAAGTTTACGTCATACCAACATAAAGTATTTATACAACTAGTAAGAAAAAACATAATAACAATGCAGTTGATAAAAATGTACGGTAAGGTGAGGATTACAAAATTAGTTGTGAAGCTTAAAATTTGACATCTGTAATATTGTGAAAAATCCTGAATTTTGTCACTATCTTAAATAGCTTCTACATGGTACATCGAAAACTCAAGTAGTAGGTTCCCGTGACACTCAAATTGATGCAGCTTACACACAGCATTTTGAACTTCAAGGAAACTTGTAGGAATGATTTCGGTGTTCGCTTCTAGTTGGGGTCGACAGGTTGGGAGGTGGTTCAGTTGGTCAGCTTATCGAGGTAACCTACTCAATATTTACTGCCCAGTTACTTATTAAAACCACATTTTCCGAGACTTCCACTTATAAGCTCAAGTAGGTAACAAGGGCTGACACGTTTCACGTGAACTCTTCCGTTGATTACAGAAATCTGCAAAATGCTGCCATTATTGACTAGATTAAACGAAGTACTACGTAATGCATAAAATGAGGTTCTACAGGTTACCAATACATATACAGTGGCTTAAATAAAGTTAAACGTAACCTCAGCCTGATCACAAAATGCTACTAACCGACTATATAAATATCGTCAGACAGATGTTATAAGAATTAAAAAATTCGTTATGTAAAGAGAGCATGACACAAGGACTCACAGAATTCATTCTCAATTTCCATTATCACTTCTATGTGATCCAAACTATCAAGTCCGAGGTCTTTCATAAAAGAAGAATCTAAAGTTAGCTGCTTTAAATATTAATACAAAGCATAAGAACCTTATCGGACTGTATTTTATCATAAGCAGAACAAACCGCCAACACCTTATCTTCTACTTCAGCCCTGGACAGTCCACATTTGATCCATCTACGCGACTGGTTGAAGCACGTATAAGTGGGCAATTTATTCTCAAATACGCACTTTGTAACTGATGAAATACGTGCAAAACTCGGTGTTACAGTATTACGTAAGCAACGAAGAGAATTAAACAAGCCAGGTCCCATCAGTCTAGCGATCATTTTGAAACTCCGCTTGAAACAATCAAGCATTCATCTTTCAATGAGAAGCGTGATGCTTTATGTTTTTATGAAATATTAGTGTTTCAGAGTACATACGTCACTGAATAAGTGGTGAAATTTTATACATGCATTTATTAGCAATTCCACATTTAGAGCAGTGGGGTAGATGCTGAGCAGCTTGAGATATATCGGAGTCACTACTGTTTCGGAACTAAACTTACCACGAAATCCAGATACTTGGGGTCATTTACTCTTTTTTGCATTATTCTGACGGTAATAAGCTGTATTACCTACACTTGAATGTTGACTTGTATCTTGGTAACAGAGCGTGTCACTAATTCAAACTGATGGTTGTGCAATGCAACTAAAGCATCTCAAAACCCTTATACCAACTCAAGAATGTGAAGCCAAGGTGCAGTGCATAGCGTGGTCTCCAAATAACAGAAAATTAGCCATTTGTACTAGTGATCGCCTAGTTATAATTTTTGATGAGAATGGGGAGCGTCGAGCACGCTTTTCTACTAAAACAGTTGATTCCAAAGCAAATGGAAAGTCTTTTCAAGTCAAAGGGATGGCATTTTCTCAAGATTCAACCAAACTTGCCATCGCTCAATCGGATAATATGGTATATGTTTATAAAATTGGTGAATCCTGGGAAGACAAGAAAGTGATTTGCAACAAGTTCCCTCAGAAGTCGCCTGCGACATGTATCATTTGGCCTCCAGGTCAACCAATTATTTGTGGACTCGCCGATGGCAAAGTAAGAGCCGCTAATGTGCGGACAAACAAGTCGTCCACTGTCTATAATGCTGAGTCTTACGTAGTTTCTCTTGCAATGAATGTATCTGGGAAAGGTTTCATTTCCGGTCATGTAGATGGGAGGATCATTCGCTACTTTTTTGACGATGAGGGCTCAGGTGATGCTCAAGGCAAATTCGCCATACATTCCACCGCTCCTTATGCTCTGGCTTGGGCAGGTTCTACTATACTTGCTGCAGGATGCGATAGGCGTATCTATGTATATAGTCGGGAAGGAAAAGTTTTACAACAGTTTGATTATAGCAGAGATGACAATGAGAAGGAGTTCACTGTTGCTGCTTGCAACCCAACTGGTCATTCTGTAGCTTTTGGCAGCTTCAACCGCATTCGCGTTCTTTCCTGGAGTCCTAGAAGAGGTGTATGGGATGAATGTAAGCCGAAGGAAATCGAAAACATATACAGTGTTACTGCAATGGCTTGGAAGCAAGACGGATCCAAGCTAACTGTTGGTACGTATTGTGGCGGTATCGAAATATTCGACTGTTGTGTGAAGAGAAAGCTATACAGGAACATTTTTGAGTTGAATTATGTTGATCCCAGCCAAGTTATAGTAAAAAATTTAAAGACGGGGGACACGATTGTTCTTCAGTCATTTTTTGGCTATGAAATAGATGATGTTAAAGTGATGGGACAAGACCGATACTTGATTGCACATACATCTAATACCCTTATGCTTGGTGACCTTCGAGAAAATCGACTAAGTGAAGTTCCCTGGAATAACAAGAGCCTGAAGGAACGTTTCTACTTTGGCTACAGCAAGTTTTGCATAATTTTTGGCTCTGGTGAACTTCATGTTGTTGAATACGGAGTAAATGAAATTTTAGGCTCTGTAAGAACAGAATTCACCACTCCATACTTGATAAGTGTCAGAGTAAATGAAAGAAAGTCCTGTAGGGATGGACTGTGTAAAAGAATTGCCTATATGTTGGACCTTAAGACAATATCCGTTGTTGATTTAACTACGGGATCAACTGTTGCACAGATTCCGCATGATAAGAAAGTTGACTGGATTGAATTAAACGAAACTGGACAAAAGCTACTTTTTCGGGATAAGAAACTTCAACTCATTTTATTTGATATAGAAACAGGTGTAAGATCTATGATGCTGAACTTTTGTTACTATGTACAATGGGTTCCTCAAAGTGATGTCGTTGTTGCTCAGTCTAGAGATAATCTCTGCATTTGGTATAATATCGATTCTATTGACAGGATGACAACAGTCCCTCTCAAAGGTGGTGAAATTATTGATATCATTCGCCAGAGTGGCAAAACAGAAGTTTTAGTTAATGAAGGTATGACCTCCGTTTCCTACGCTTTGGATGATGGCCTCATCGAATTCGGTACTGCAATGGAGGATGGTGACTTTGAAAGAGCTGTTTTATTTTTAGAAAGCTTGGAAGTTACTCCAGAAACAAAGTCAATGTGGAATAAGCTTGCATTCGCCTCTTTAAAGTCAGAAAATTTACTGATTGCAGAACAATGTTTTGCTGCTTTAGGTTGTGTAAGCAAGTCTCGATATTTACGACATTGCCGAACTATGTTCATGGAAAACAAGTCATCGTACTCCAATATCCGAGTATGTGTTGCCATTCTTGAGAAAGAATTCAGAGTTGCCGAAGATATATTTTTGTCACAAAATTCTTTCGAAGATATTATAAAAATGTACAAGGATCTTCTTAAATGGGATGATGCGATAGAGGTTAGTTTACTCAGCATTTGTTTCATATAAATTAATATTTATTACCAATGAATTGTGCTCCAAGCGTCATCGGTAAATATTACAGTTTAACACTGTGAAACTTTATCTAAGTAGAATTTTTTCCCTAATGGAATTGTACTCTACCACAGTGCCCAAGTCCTATTCTTATATCAACGTATAGTTTTCGTTGCTTTTTTGCTCACAATTCTTGGTCAGTATTACTATGTGTGTTCTAGAACTATTTCCTAAATCCTACCATGCTACAGAGTAAGTTAGTGCAGATGAAAACCTATTTAACTAACTAATTGCAAATGTGCTACTCCAAATTGACTGGTTACATGTGCAATGGAGTCATAATACTAAGTGACACTATAGTGTACTCTGATGCAATACTTTTTGAAGCAGGAATTTCCAAATCTGGATTTAATGTTTGTTGACCAGAGAAGACTTCGGGGAAGTGCATATTCCACATGGAACTGGGACCTGTATCAAAGTATTTTTAAGCCAATGACACCACTAAGTCGATACCCAAGTTTTTGTGGTAGTTACAAATGTTCACTACGTCTTTTATTTCTTACTTCCCTTTAGACATGCTAATATGTCAGTGTAAAACAGCGCAACGTATACTGATACGCTCACACACTAATATTTGGCCAGCTGTATTTGTATTATTATTATTTGTATTTAGAATGGAATAAAAACTGCCAACACTGCTCGCTAAATTCGTCGGAACTTATATATTACACAGGCAAGTAAACTAAATATGAATTCAACTTACGAGGTCATAGGGCATTAGTTTTGAACGGGCGAAGGAAAGGAATGCATTGGTTATAAAAGTGTTGGAACTAGTTTATATTTCTTATAAATTCTGACAATAGTGACTTCAGTTGTATCTTATAATTTGAACTTTGTTTAGAAATATTTAATGAATATCCATAAAAATGGGTTTTCTGTATTCGATTATGGACAATCATAATGAAACCAAAAACAAGTACACTATTTAGATAATTGATGATAAACATCAATGTACAAATGCAGTTCAAACTTTTGGGATATCATCTAGTTAACCTAGAGTATGAGGTCGGATGTCACGAGATTGGTATTGACACGGGATGACGGCTGCTTCGGCTTTTGTATTAAATTTGGCTAGTGAAGAAATTGTGCTATTTAGGTCAACCTAAACAAGGTATTAAAATTAAATGAACCATAAGATTATTATTAATAATGCTTTTCTTGCGTTTCTTGTTATTGTTCTGTCAGATTGCCGAAGCTAAAGGATGGCCAGGTTTGGAAAGACTCAGAAAAGATTACCATCTATGGTTGACAGAAACTGGGCAAGAAGAGAAAGCCGCTGATTTACGTCAAAAAGATGGAGATTTTAGTGCTGCAATTACATTATACCTGCGTGCCGGTGTTCCTGGCAAAGCAGCACGCTTAGCACTATCTGAACCCAGAATTTCATCTGATAGAACAATTGTCGAGAAAATTATTCAAGTAGGATACTAGGCGTAGATATTTTATTTTATCCGTATAATAATGGCCTACAACACTTTTTGGCAGTTGTATATCTATAAAAATATCGTACCTTTAATTCAAAAATACGAAAATGAATCAATGTGAAACTCAGTATTCTATATAAAGAAAGGTTGGTGAATGGATTTCAGACAGAAAAAAATGTGCACAACTTAGGGTTCATTTAGACTGCTACCTTTCATAGTAGATAGTGGCAAAAAAAGTAAACTGAACACAAGTAGATACATCGGCTGAGGCGGAAAAATAGTTATAATTAACGCAGAAGCGAACACGCCTGTGATGTTGAAGTTATAGAGATAAACAGGTTTATTCATTTGCTTCAAGATGCTAGTGATAATTCATATCACTTAAAGTCTTTAGGCACTGAGTCGATTGGTTAGATCTCATGGGTCACTGCAAAAGTTGTCAGAGGAATCAATACTCGGCTATATGGGAGTGCTCACACCTGAGATTTCCCCTTCAAGAATACTGATACCACATGTGCTGATTTTATTGCTGATAACAAAAAATTAAATGTTCTAACATTTTCTAATAGATGTACAGTTTGGTTATTTTGATATTCCTATCAGTCCTATAACTTAAATTTCCTTTTCAAATGAATGTTTTTCTTACAGTCTTATTATTCAAATCAAAACTACCACTGTTTTAGGCTAATAAGTTGTCAGTCTTAAGGTTGTGCGGAATGGGTTGATATCAAGAGGCATTTCTCCGTGAACACTCGTCAACTGGAAGATAATCCTACTCTGAACTGTTATGTGTAGTTTGATTTTAAAATAAAAATCTTCAGGCTTCTAAGGTTACACCTGTAAACTCAAAAAAGGAAGTGACCAACAACAAAGGACTTTGGAAGTGGCATTATTTATATTTGACTTTGTCTTCCTCTCACACGTATTCATTTCGAGTGTTTCAGACTAAACCAGTGAGTAGTTACACCTGAATTCAAGTAAACTGTGTGTTTGAATCTTACGAATGAGCAC